CCTCTAGATGGTATCAAAGGGGCAGAGCCCAAAGCTTGCCTGGCTCTGCAGGTCCCTCTGGAAGTGTTAGGTGAAGCCTTTTCCCAGCAGAGCCAGTGCAATGAATATTTAATAGTCTTTGTTAATACGTTCTCATTACATTTCAATTTGGATGGAAAAAAGAGGCATTGCTGCTCACATTTGCCTTTAGAAATAAGCATATCTTGGAGTACCTGCTGGGCTTCTTATTGAGCAGGGGGTGGTCAGTGTTGCATCAGTGACTGGGAAGTCAGCAGAATTACACTGTTAATGGGTTTCCTACTCTTTGGTCATGGGCTGACTTTTGAAAATTACATTCTTGGGCTATATACCACTGAAGAGTTTTTGCTGTCTTTAGAAACCAAAGGTGATCCTATCTGCACCCAGCAGAGTGTAATGAATATACATACAAACAAGAGTGGAGCTTCTGACAGAGAGGGATGACAGCACTGCTGTTCCAGCAGCAAAACAAAGTGCTAGAATAGATTAAAAGATGATCAGAAAAGAGGCAAACTCCCCTTTTCCCCACTCCTGAGCCCAGCTGCCGTGGCAGGAGGCTGCTGTCACTGAGGCTGCTGGTGTTTGTGGGGGGTTCAGCCTCTGGGGTGCAGCCAGGCCAGCAGCTCTGTGCTCCAGCTGGGTAAGGGGTGTCCATCTCCTGGGCCTCTGCCCCAGGCAAAGGTGCAGCTGGGAAGCAGCAGGAGCAGAGACCTGGAGTTCCCATGGGAGTGGGAGCTGCTGACCTCCTGAGCCCTGCAGACTTCCCAGGATAACCCTGACATGGGAACAGGCCAGATGAGGAGGGTTCACTCCCTGGTACTCACCCTGCAATTGCCCGTCATCCCGGAACTCTCATGGAATGTCTGGGCAGGCAGCACCTGCTGGGGCAGGGGCTCTGTGCTCATTTGCTATATCCAAGGCTGCTACAGTAGAGTTTCCATTAGTTGTTTCTTAACTATTTAAGGTGTGAAATAAGCATCAGACCTTTCTGCCCTCTTTCCCAGGCTCTTGGTGTCTTCCTGTTGGCTCTGAGCTCTGACAAGAGCTGTTCAGTAACAAGTGACCTGCTGGTCACACCATCTCTTAGCAGCAAAGGCAGTGGTTTTGGTTGGATTATCTGTAAGCCAGTGAACTTCCATTTGGACAGTGGTCTCCAGCTGAAAAATAACTTGCCTGATATAAGGATGGTTTTTAAAATAACAAATACATTATTGGTGTGTCTTGTTTTTGTTAAAATAGTGTAGAATTGATTTGAAATGCCCAAGGCAATGGAGCGTTTGGTTTGGTTTCTTCTGGAGGTCAGGCACAGCTGGTCAGTGATGTGATGGGGAATTTGCTTTTCTCTGCTTCAGCTGCTTGAGCAGCAGCATAAAAATGCCAGTTCAGACCCTCTAGGTGACAGGGTTGTCCATTATAACCATTCCCAGCTCAGCTGGAGTGGCAGTGGGACTGAGCCTCCTGGAGTTGCCTTTGAGAAGACTTGGCCTCCTACCACTGTCTCATGACCTGTCCACTTCTGCACATTCAGGAGGTGCTTTCCTCTGTCTTTGGGCTGGTGTGTCCTTGGGGGAGTAAGAAACCTCCCTCCCCCATCAGGATGGCCCCCATGTTCTGGGGAAGCTGAAGGCATCAGTTCCTGCAGCAGGGTGGGCAGCAGGGCTGTGGGAAGCCACAAGTGTGAGGTGGGTCTGTGAGGCCACCAGCCCCCCATGGGCCAGGGCAGCCCCAGCCCTGCAGCAGAGCTCCAGCTACCCCAGCTCCAGGTTCCCTCATCAGGGATGCAAATCAGCCTCTGCTCATCAGGGATGCAAATCAGGGCGGTGTGTCACTTGCAGAGGATCTTCAGCTTTCTGAACCTTCTGCTCATCTGCTGCTGTCCTCCCTTGTCCTTGTGATGTCCCTGCTGCAGTGTTGTTGAGGTGTAGGTGGTTTGTGTTTGTAAGCAGCAGTAAAATGTGTTTGCACTGAAATAATCTCAGCCTTGGACAGATGTTCTCAAAACACACAGCATGCCAGGCAGGGCTCCTTGGCTCCAACACTGATCAGGAACTTCAGAGAAAAGATCTCTTTTGTCCTCTCCTCCTCAGCTTTGTTTTGTAGTAAAATTTGCATAAACCTAACCATGAAGTGCACTGAGGGCGTGGGTTTCAGTCTGTGTTCAGGTGTTAGCCCAGCCCAGGTTATCTTCAGTTCATCCTGAAAGCTCATGTTGCATCGTGACACTAAACTCCATCCACAGAGTTGATTTGTATTCCCCATCCATCCATTGCAGAGGCTGCTTTTGATGAGCACAAAGAACTAGAAAGCATAAATATTTATTCCTTAAAGGTTATGATTGCCTTAAATCATTCAAGCTTATTTGGTGAACGTCAGATATAATTAAACTAAGCAGCTGAACTCAATCTGCATGTGTGGAATTGTCTGTGTGTGTGTGTGTATATACATATGTGCTTGATCCCAGTGTGGATGGAAGCTGTGAGCTAATTGCTTCCATCACATCAAAAGATGCACTGATAATTTAATGTTCCTGGATGTGGTAATAAATCAACATAAAGCAGCAGTTGAAATTGTATCACAGAAAGCCCCGTTTCAACGTGCAGCACGTGCTGTGGTAACTGCAGGAACAGGGCTCAGCTCCAGTGGCACATGTCTGACTGACTGACTGCAGGGGAGCAAGGAAGCACGTCAGGGAAATTATTCCACTTTTGGGTGTCTTACCCCTGTCCCCTGGGAGGTCTTCAGCAGCTGGAGGGGACTGGGCTGAGCCAATTTGGTGGCACAGGTTCCCAGCTGGAGGTGTGAACCTTTCTCCTTTGCAGATGTAAAGGGGGAAAAGCCAAGAGATCCTGGGCCTCCAGTGCTTTTGATTTGTTGTTATCTGTAACGATGGTAATTTTGGGTACATTCTGAACAGGTGCACAGCCTTTTCTGAGTGCATTTGTGTGCACAGACCTCAGCAGCACCAGAGGAAACCAGCTGATGAAATACCATTTAATCTGTCTCTGATGACTTGGGAAACGATAGGATGGAAATGTCCCTCTTGTTGTCATGAAAATTCATTTGAAAAGCCAAAGAGAACCAAATAACTCTTGCTCTATTTACCCTTGTTCTATATTACCCATGGAATTGATTGTGTAGTAATGTACATCTAAGTTACAGATGGAAATCCTAGATGAAGCAATGGTCTCCAGGGATACAGAAACCCAAGTTTCAGTCCATTCATGCCTGTGTCCTGCTGGGCATCTCCAGAAGACTGGAGGGGCTGCTGGGTCTGCTCTTGTATGGATTGCTCCACGTGATAAGAGGCACCTTTAGGCTTCAGGGCTGGAATTGATGGATCTTCAGCATTTCCTTATATCCAGAGAGCTCATCAAAGTTAATAGTTTTGCTAGGGGCTTTGACAGAAGCAGAAGAAAAGAAACAGTCGTTGCCTGAGGTCCAAATGTTGTCTTGAGCTGGAAAATGGTTCACTGTCTTGTTAGAGCTGGCCAGGTTACAAGTGCCTCCAGTGGCACTACTGTGCTGTAGGCAGCACAGCAGACATCACAGTGACCTGTTCCTCTGCTGTAAAGGCTTTATTTGTCATTCTTTCTTCAAAGCAAGTATGGATTAAATCTATCATAGTACCTTGTAGGGTAATTATTGTGCTACTCATTGTGTCTTGCAGGAATTTCTCTTATCCTGACTTCATGGCAAAAAAAGAGACACAATGCAGTGTTTCCTTCTCTGCTGTTTTTCCTGCCTGTGCTTGCAGTTCCTCCTCCCTGTGCTGCCTTCCCAGGCAGGAGATGGTCACAGAATGGCATGGGGCTGCTTGGTGGGGAGCATCAAGGTCTTGCTCCTGTCTCCACTCTCCCAGCTCTCCTTTGCTGTTAACAATCCACGAGCATCTCCTGGTGCCCATTTTGCTTTGCTCTAGACTGCTGCAGGTCCATGGAGGGCTCTCACCCCTCAGGCAGGGAACCACACATCTGCATTGCTTAAACAAAAATTCCATACTTTCTGTATATGCTTTTAGGTGTGCCTTGAGACATGTAGTCCTTCCCCATAGTTCTGCAAACCTCCCCTGGGCCTGGGAGGTTAAAATAGCCTTGGCACTGTCCTTTTCCTGCTATTCCCATGAGCTGGGCTGCAGGGAGAGTGGCTTGCTAATTGATCTTTGGCCTTGGAGGGCTGCACTGCAGGCACAGGGGAGGGCTGAGGTGTTGGAGGAAGCCCCTAAAAATATTCAATGTACTTCTCATGTTCTTACAGCTTTCAAGCCTCTTAGGAGGAGATCACCAAAAATAAAACTGTGGGGATGTGGTACATGAAGGTGCAAGAGCTTCAGAGCTGCTGGTTCTGGCTGTGCACATGAAAATATTCCTGGGGATGTGGTGAGAAGGGTGTTGGAATGCAAAATTCTCAGCTTAGGTGACTTTTCAGTTGTTTCAAGGCCTGAAGCTCAGAGGTGGCTCTGCATAATGCCCTGGCTCCTGCAGAGAGGGGCTCCTCTGCTCTTCCATGGCTCTGTGTCAGGAGGGCTGGGGAGGGGAGCAGGAGGAAGCTGCTCTTGCAAATCATCAGCAAAATAATTTCCTGTGGATGGAGTGGGACACAAACAGTTTCTGGTGAGAAGCAGCAGAAGCAGGAGGTGTTGTTTATTCTTAAATAAGAAAAGTGATCTTGCTGAGGGCTGTTTTGAAAGCGTTGATATGTCTTTGCAAATTCTTGGTTTGAGGATCACATTTTTAGCCATTTAAAATTTACACCAATGCTGCTTTGCTGAAAATCAATGGGTGTCCTGACCAGACCAGGAGCTCAACACAGAATTATTTTCACCATTCAGAGGGGTATAGGGAGCCACGTTTAGCAGGAGATTGGCCAAACGTTCTGTGAAATCCAGCTGGAGCAAAAAGTAAGGTTTTTTCAAAACGTTTTTCTTTATTGGGCAAAAAAAAATAATAAAAAATTAAAGAATTGTCCTTCTGGTTTGCATGCAGGTTCTGCCTCTAGGCTGGATGCTCATGTGGGTCCTTTGATGCCAACACAAGTCGCCAGAGTGACGGCTGTGGCTGCACCAGCCCTGACATTCATGGCCACCAACCTGATGGATCCAGCACTAACAGGTGTGTTGCTGTGTCCTGACTGTGGTCCTGGAGCACGTGGGGTGTCTCTGTGTGCTTCCAGCCAAGCCCTGCTTCCTGCACTGCCTGAACATGGGGGACCCTTACAAATCAGCTGGAAGCTTCTGCCGTTTGCTGCAGCTGATGACGAGCGCATCCCCAGTGTCTCAGGTCCTGTCTGGGACTGGCAGCAGCTTTGCATTTGATGCTACCAAAAGCAAGTTTCTGAAATGTTCTTGGGCTTTCCATTTCCCAGGCCAGTGGTATTCAGGAGCGTTACAGTGATGATGTGGTTATCTTCTGGGTAGTTGTTCCATGAAGTGTCCTTGGCTGAAGGGCTGGGCAAATCCATGGTGGAGCAGGAGGCTCCCTCTGGAGCAAGGTGGGCTGCAGCAAGATCCTCTGATGGACTCCCTGTTGCTTAGTCTTCCAACCCAGTGTGGAAAGGGCTGAAAACTTTTACAAAGGCACCTTACAACTGACAGACAGTTCATACACATCACTTTCGACCTACTTTGATTTAAAGTTTCTTGTCTGATTTGTTTTTGGGAAACACCTTCTGCTTTTATCATCTATACAGTTGTTGTGCTTGAAGTCCTGCATTCTGCTCTGTAAGGTCACCAAGAGTTGTGTTGACTTGCTTTCTTGCCAGGAGCAGCTGCAGCTTGGTGAAAACTGAAACTGTGGTTTTTAGGCTGCTCTCAAAAAACAAAAGCAATGAGGTTGTGAGGAAAGACAGAACTGACCCTCAGGTACTGGTGGGACAGTAGAAGCTGAGTGTTTGGGTGGATGTGCTTGGAGTAAATCCAAGTAAATCCAAATCCTCTGAAACATTTAGAATCTAAGTTTTAAACTTTCTTTAAAGTTAATGGAGATTTGGCCTCTAAATACCTTTGCAAAGTAGATTTTTATTCTCTCTTCTCCATAGCAACTTCTGGAGTGAATCAATCTTTGTCCCTCATCCCTCTTCCTTTTCCTCTCCCTCTTCCTTTTCCTCTCCCTCTCTAGTTCTGCTTTTAGTAAGATGTTTATGATCATACACCTACATCCTCTGTGATGCACCCGAAATAGTTTTGCTGCTTCACCTGTACTTTTGGTACTGTGAATCATCCATGTCTCCCTGCCAGGGGGCCTGGAGAAGCCTGGTTAATCAGGTCTCTTCATCCCCTGTCTCCAGCACATCCTCAGCTGGTAATTGCACTGCTGAGTGCAGGGGCAAAAAAAGCTGCATGATTATGTTGGAAATCTGTGGTGGTGGCTCAGTTCTCAGACTGCAGTTTCTTTTATGTGCTTAAATTAAAGGAGAGAAGGGGGAAGTTGATTAATGAGAAAAGAGTAAACCTGACCTGCTGGTGAAGGGTAGACATGTATCTTGCTGGCTGTCCTCCAGCGTGGGCAGAGAAGCACCCAGGTGCTTCTGCTTTCCTGCTGGGATGCTGTGAGGCAGCGCTTCTAAGGAAGGAAAAAGAGAGAGGCAGGCTCAGGCATTGGCAGTGTCTGTGTGCCAGAGATGTGTGAGGTGCAAAGAGGAGTGAGACCAGCTGCCCAAGGGCCTCCTGGCATGATCCACACCAGTACATCCACACTCTGCTTCAAGCCAGCCTGCAGTTAGTAAAGAGCAGAACAAGAGCAGCATGACAAAAGCATTTATGCCATAGGTTGTGTCTTCCTTTGCATCCAGCCAGGGCTCCAGGAGCTGTGTATGTGGTTTAGGTTCTCTCTCCTGATGCATTTCCTCAGCATCAGCTGTGGGAAAATCCTCTGCTGAATTTTGTATGTGTGTTTAAATCTGCCAACTGACATTTCTTTATTTGTGTTAATGTTTGCAAAGCTGGGGAAATGCATTTTCTTCTTCCTTGTGCACGTGTGATTATGCATATACAGGAATGAAAGATCTTGGCCACTTCTTAAACCAATGTGATAATGAAGACTATAAAAGAATAAAAATTCTAATATATTAAGAAAAGGTTTTTTCCCAAGAATTAGAGAAATACTTAAAAAGAGAATGAAGCAGAGCTGGGAGTGTGGTTAGTGTGCTTTCCCTGTTAAAAGTAATAATGATTTCCAGGTCAGTTAAGCATTGCTCCCCAAGCATGTTTCTCCATGTCCAACTGCTCTGTGTTCAAGTGACAGAATCTGAACAGCAATTTGTTTCAGCAGCAGCTCCCTGGCCTTCTAGCCTTGTTGCTTCAGGGACTATTTCATAGCAAGAGCAGAAGAGTTGAGAGCTGGAAATGCCAAAACGTACAGTGCTGCTCAGTAGCACTGCCCTCAGGGCCTTCCAGGACATGGCTGGCCATGGTGCCTGGAGCCACAGCCAGCTGTGTGCCTGCAGTGTGGGGCCAGAGCCAGCTGTGTGCCTGCAATGTGGGACCAGAGCCAGCTGTGTGCCTGCAATGTGGGACCAGAGCCAGCTGTGTGCCTGCAATGTGGGACCAGAGCCAGCTGTGTGCCTGCAATGTGGGACCAGAGCCAGCTGTGTGCCTGCAATGTGGGACCAGAGCCAGCTGTGTGCCTGCAATGTGGGACCAGAGCCAGCTGTGTGCCTGCAATGTGGGACCAGAGCCAGCTGTGTGCCTGCAATGTGGGACCAGAGCCAGCTGTGTGCCTGCAATGTGGGACCAGAGCCAGCTGTGTGCCTGCAATGTGGGACCAGAGCCAGCTGTGTGCCTGCAATGTGGGACCAGAGCCAGCTGTGTGCCTGCAATGTGGGACCAGAGCCAGCTGTGTGCCTGCAATGTGGGACCAGAGCCAGCTGTGTGCCTGCAATGTGGGACCAGAGCCAGCTGTGTGCCTGCAATGTGGGACCAGAGCCAGCTGTGTGCCTGCAATGTGGGACCAGAGCCAGCTGTGTGCCTGCAATGTGGGACCAGAGCCAGCTGTGTGCCTGCAATGTGGGACCAGAGCCAGCTGTGTGCCTGCAATGTGGGACCAGAGCCAGCTGTGTGCCTGCAATGTGGGACCAGAGCCAGCTGTGTGCCTGCAATGTGGGACCAGAGCCAGCTGTGTGCCTGCAATGTGGGACCAGAGCCAGCTGTGTGCCTGCAATGTGGGACCAGAGCCAGCTGTGTGCCTGCAATGTGGGACCAGAGCCAGCTGTGTGCCTGCAATGTGGGACCAGAGCCAGCTGTGTGCCTGCAATGTGGGACCAGAGCCAGCTGTGTGCCTGCAATGTGGGACCAGAGCCAGCTGTGTGCCTGCAATGTGGGACCAGAGCCAGCTGTGTGCCTGCAATGTGGGACCAGAGCCAGCTGTGTGCCTGCAATGTGGGACCAGAGCCAGCTGTGTGCCTGCAATGTGGGACCAGAGCCAGCTGTGTGCCTGCAATGTGGGACCAGAGCCAGCTGTGTGCCTGCAATGTGGGACCAGAGCCAGCTGTGTGCCTGCAATGTGGGACCAGAGCCAGCTGTGTGCCTGCAATGTGGGACCAGAGCCAGCTGTGTGCCTGCAATGTGGGACCAGAGCCAGCTGTGTGCCTGCAATGTGGGACCAGAGCCAGCTGTGTGCCTGCAATGTGGGACCAGAGCCAGCTGTGTGCCTGCAATGTGGGACCAGAGCCAGCTGTGTGCCTGCAATGTGGGACCAGAGCCAGCTGTGTGCCTGCAGAACAGGGCCAGAGCCAGCTGTGTGCCTGCAGAATGTGTAGCACTGCAGCTGGCTGGACCAGTCACAGGTTCCCCACACTGTCCCTCTGCTGTCCCTGGCCTTCCTGAGCCTCTGCCAGGATTTTCCTGCCCTTTCCCAGAGCCCAGCAGTGGGTGCTCCCGGGCAGGCTGGCACCTCCACTCCAGGATGAACGTGCCCAATAATGCTTTGATTACCTGTGAACAGGTGTCTTGAGAAGAAAGATTAAACTTAGAGACCCTTTGGAGATGTTTTAGCTGCTCCCTGCTCCTGGCTCCTTTAATACGGAAATTAATTGATATGGTTTGTTAATCCACTTTTTCACTACCCATAACAATTAGGTAATTAATCTGAGAAAAATGCTGTACATTTAAATTTGTGATACATTCCATGGTGAGGCAGAGTCAAACAGCTGAGACTCCAGCCTGTGTAGCTCCTGTTGTGCCTGTGCTGCAGTCTGAGTCATTGTGAAGGCAGCTGAATAAAGTGTGAGTCTGCTGCACACTGGGCAGCCCTAGTTAAGCAGGGCTTGCAGTCAGTTTCCTGAAGCTGCTGCACCAAAGCTTTCACCTGCTTGGCAGGTGGGAGCTGCTCCCAGACCTGGGAGATGGGGAAGGGAGGGAGTGTCATGACTTGCTCTTGTTAGGGCACTCTCAGTGCTGGTGACTACAGGGACTGTCAGTCACATCCCCAAAGACGTGTTGTAGGAGAGGTGGAAGAACAAGAAGATCCAAAGAAACCCCAGATAATAATAATACTTAAAAGAAGAATATATTTCTTAATATTCCTCCCAGTGAAACCTGCTTTGTTTCTGATGGTCAGGTCTGTCTCTCTGCCTTTTTACCTTCCCTTCCTGTCCCCAAGGTGCAGCTACGTGACCATTTGTGGGGGCTGACCCCGAGCAGGGCAGTGCCTGGGGCCATGGGGCTGGGGGTTGGATGCCACTTTTGGCTTGGTGGAACTGTATTCATTGCACATTAAAACAAAACCCTTTCACCTCACAGATAATGGCAAAGAACCGAGTCGATCCTCCTGCCCGCCCACCTTGATTTTACACACAGAGAGGAAGAGAATTCCTGTGGAGAACAGTGGTGATAAGGTCTGTGGTGGCATTTCTGCTCCTAAAAACCTCTTTGAACTATGGAACTGCCCAGATCAGCCAGGCTGTGCCGTGGCTGGAGCTGTGTTGGTGATACAGTCATCTCCTACAGTCAATTTTCAAGCTCTACCTATTATATTTATCTTGGTGCTACAGGAGCTCCAGCACTGCTGGTGCCAGAGGAGCAGAGCAGGGTGTTTGCTGTGGGTGTCCTCCCTGTGCTGGAGGAGAAGTGAGTGGATGGGAGGGGTGGGTGGGTGTGAGTGGAGGTGGGACAAAACTCTGGGACAAAACTCGTGTCCTGAGGAGTGCTGAAGTGAGTGTCTGGGACTTTCTGGGGCACATGGTGGTGGCAGGACCTGAGGAGCTGGGTCAGGCTCTGCTCAGAGTGGGATCCCCTCCCTGGATGTCGTGCTGCCTGTTGCAGCATCAGCCCCAGGTGCAAGGAGGGATCTTTTCATGGGCCCCACCTGCTCGGTGTTACTCGTGTGAGATGCTGTGCATTTCTGTAGCCCTCCTTTACAGATAATGGCAAGGCCCTTAAATCAAGCTGCCAGGTGAAGGTAAATGCACAGCAAACATTAAGTGCAGCTTACAGGTGGGTGATGCTGTATGTGTGTAACTTCATCAGCTCTTGGTAGAAAAGCTGAGATTATTGCCTAAAGGAAAAGAACCTAAATAACACTCCCAGTTCATGTGAAATACACAGAAATACTGGCTTTCTGCACAGCTTGTGCAGACTTGCTGCCAATGGCCAAGGCTAAAAGAGGGAGACTTCTTGGCACAGCCCTGGTGCAAGGGCTTCTGTGCAGGTGAGATTTCTACTGTTTCGGTAGCTGGGTGTTCATGAAGCTGCTGGTGGAATAATGGCACTCGGGGTGATTTGTATAACAATGACAGCCTTCTGCAGCAGCTTTAATTGTTGACTAATCTCTGTCTGTCTTTCAAGGATCATTCCTTTAAACTAGTAAATGAGGCCAGCAGCCCATCAAAGGGCAACAAGCCGGTGGCATCTACTCCAGTGCCAGGATCTCCATGGTAAGCAGAGCAGCCATTCCTTGGGGTCCTTTCCTTCACCAAAGACCCCTTAGTGCATGGGGAAAATGCACTGCCCTGGGTGCTGGGCAGCAATGCTGGGCTCCTGAGCTAGCTTTTCCTCCTTAATCATGTGCTTAAGGAAGTTGTGGGGAGGGAGCTGCAGGGAAGATTTTATCACTGAAAATAGGTTGTGTCTCATGAGCCAGGTTTCCTGACCACCTTCCCTTCAGGTGACTACATGCTGGGTAACTGAAGCTCTTGTGTCATTTTGAAGTAGATGAAAAATTTCAGGACTTTTTGTCCTGAACAGTTGACTAAAAGAACTTTTAACCTCCTTTACTCATATGATCATTGGTCTGTACTTGGTGGCTGGTACCTTTGGGAGCTCCACATAGATATCAGCCAGTATTTGCTATGGTGCCACTTTGTAAACCAGTGTTTTAAACACAGTCTGACATCCTACTTAATATTGACTGAATACATTTTGGTTTCCACCTTGACATCTGCTGCTCTGTGGTGTAGTGTAGAGGGGCCACCTGAGTCCTGCAGTGCCACAGGCAGGTGGTGGTTCCACCCTTTCTCATAGAGAAGAGCCATAGCCAGTGGCACCCACAGGGGGCTCTCACATCACCCCCTCTTCTCTGGCAGTGTCTACTAAGTGTTCAGATCCAAACTTATGATATTTTAATCTCTAAGGAGAAATCTTGCATTCCTTGGGATCAGGTAGAGGGGGTAGAGTCCTCATGTTCCACATTCTGAGGTGATAATGTCCCATCTGCCCCATGGCTGGTGGTGGAACATGGAGCATGTCTGTAGGGTGCTTCAGTCACAATTTACACATTTTTCTTTATCAGTTGGAGCTAGATATGCAGCCCAGGTTCAGCAAATCCCAAGCTTACTTCCAGCACTCTCCCCCCACAGTCTGGCCCCCTGCTCCTGCAGGGCCTGTGGTTGATGTGACATCACCAAGCACATGTCAGAAGTAGCTAAACCCCAAATTTCAATGGCAGGAAAATTTTCAGAAAAGTTATCAAACCTTATCTACCTTATGAAATAAATAAATAAGCTGATATTATCATCTTGTGCCCCTACTCATTATTAAATTACAGTTTTCTAAAGGGAACCATGAACATAACAGTATCTGCTTTTCCAGTTCATGCTCTGAGGCTGAAACACAATCCCATGTGTCCCCTGTGGCTGATTGGAACTGTTATTATAGCAGAGGGGAGCAGGTGACGTGCTACGTGGGAAACAGACATTAATTTGAAATTAAATGCCAAGTTATATTAGTCATGCAAAAGTGAAGAGGCCTCAGGAGGGACCAGGAGTGTCTGACCTGGGGGGATGCAGGCGAGCCCAGGTGGGGTTGGGTGAGCAATGAGCACCATCAGCGTGGAGGCACCACAGCATCCCACCAGGGAGCAAACACCCCTTCCCCACCCACTGGTTATAATCCCTGCCAGCAGCTTCAGCAGTGCCACGTGCACCTGGTAGCATCGTGGATCCCAAGCAAGGGGCTGGTTTCAGGTTCACCATCATTCCCAACCAGATCCCCAGAGGTTCACCCTTCCTGCCAGTGCAGGAAGTTGCAGCCAAGGGCAGTGCAAGGCAGGCATTGACACCTGGGCAGGCTTGGGCCTCTCCCTTGACTATAATTCTAACATTGAATGATATTATGATGATAACCCATTTAAATTAATCAGCTACATCTGCCCTCTTCACCTAAATGCCAAGATTTTTTTCCCCTTCCTTCTGGGATGGCTCTGGGATTTGTGGGAGGGAGGAATCTTCCTCTGAAACGTGCCTGCAGAAGTTCCTCTTGGTGGGTTCTGCAGAAGATGCTCGAGACTGGTGGGTCCTTGTTTCTGGGAGAACAGAAGTTCCCACAGCCCCAAGGTAGAAAGTAAGAAGCAGTAATTAGACCTAGTTGTGTAACAGTTTTAGAACATCCGTGTTGTAAGGCTCCCTCGTGATCCAAAAGGGAAAGTTACTAAAATATTGGTCATGTCTGTGTTGCTTAATTCAGGGTGTCAGAACTTCCACCAGATGTACGTGGGCCCAAAGCTCACACCTGGGTTTGTACCATCAGTTTTCAGCTCCTGTTCATCAGGAGAACATTTGACTCTGCTGGACACACCTGCTGTGATGTCCAGACCCCTGGCCCCCAGCTGCCCTGGTGTCCTCAGCTCCCCAGGGTTCCTCACCAGGGTTCTGTATTTTTCACTAGGTGTTTGGGCAAGATCAGTAGTGATGTCTCACCAGTGGCCCCCAGAATGTTGGATTATCCTATAACACTACTCTGCAGTGACAGAGTATTTTTCATTTTCACAGTCTTTAACCCAGACCAGACTTGTTTTGAACCAGTTTTGCTCACTGCTTTCAATCACAGTGGTGAGATTTGTTCTGTCCAGGTATTTATGCTGCAGAGAGAACAATATTTTCCCATTTTAAGTGTACGTGTGAGGAACTCAGGGTGTGTGTATGATGTTTGTTAGCTTCCATTATGATTCAGAAGGTGCAGGCTTGAGATTGATAATTTGTTTGTTTATTACACCCAGATTTAGTGAAGCAGAACATGAGGATTTTCAATGTCTGTAAAGGATGGTGCAATATTTATTTTCATGTTATTTTAGCTGATTTTAAATGAATGTTAACACAAAAAGTTGAACTGCTGCCCAGAGGAAATTTGCCCAGAGGAGCTGTGGAGTCCCCTTCTCTGGAGACATTCAAGACCCACCTGCATGCAGGCCTGTGTAATGTGCTCCTGGGGATCCCTGCTTTAGCAGGAGGGTTGGACTAGATGATCTCTAGAGGTCTCTTCCAACTCCAGTGATTCTGTGATTCTGCTGTTATGCAGCTTTTAACTGACCAAGTCAAGAAACTGGTGATTTGGTTGCATTTTTCAAATTTGACACAGAGCCCTTAAAAATCAACCTAAACTTTTGTGGCACATTTGGGTGGTGGCCAGGGGTTCCTGTCCTGCACAGACACTGGTGGGAGCTCATGGGGATGCCATGGGGGTGTCATTGGGATGTGATGGTTACACCTCCTCCTGCAGGAGCAACTGGAACAAGGTCTCACAGCCACCTGCCAGCAGCAGACACAGCCCTGGTGGGCTCATCACCTCATGGCCACTGAAGGGGTGGCTGCCCAGCCCCACTGCTGGGCTCCTGCCCCTTGCCGAGAGCATGAAATGCATTTTCCTGTGGCATCTCTTGCTGTGAGCACCACAACATTTCTCTTGACCCCATTCTTTTTCCCTTCTGTGATAGACCATTTCGCCTGCTGCTTTGTGGGGGCATTGGGGCCATTTCTATGCCATTTTCTTGATGTGCAGAGAGGTTGTGAACCTGAGGTGGCTGGCGTGGGCTGGCAGGGCCTGGGACGGGCTGTCAGTCTGAGAGGAGACTCACCCTGAGGGTGAACTTCTTGTTTCTTGGGTGTATCTGACATTATCTAAGCATAGTTTATCACTTGGACTAGGTGTGTAGTCTGGACTGGAGATGACCGGGTCTTCTTCTTCAACCCTACAATGCAGCTGTCAGTCTGGGAGAAGCCAGTGGACCTGAAGAACCGCGGCGACATCAACCGGATCATCGAGGATCCTCCTCACAAGCGCAAGCTGGAAGCTGCAGCAGGTAACTCAAGCCCTGTGATTATTGGCCTCTATTTAAACTCAGATGTTGGATGAAACCTGGCCGACTAAACACGCTGAGTGGAAGTTTGATAACCGTGATTAGAAGGGGTTTCCTTTTGAGATTGCACTTAACAAATTGTGTTAAGATCGGTGTTTAACGCAAAGTCCTCACCTGCCCTGAAAGGCTGAGCTGGGGGGTGGAGGGTTCTCCTGGTTGGCTGGGAAGGAGCAGGTGACTTCTTATACTGGATGAATCTTTGATGTGTAAAACTCCCCTCAGCAAACACCGTCTGTATGTTTTATGACACTTCTTTCCAGGACGTGCATTAGGAATGCATTGGCAGTGCATTATTCAGCTGGTACACGAAAGCAGATGCTCTGCATCTGCTGATTGTTCAGCCAGTTAGGGGGCTGGGGGGTAGGGGAATCCCAGGCCTGAATCTCTAAGGAGAGCTAAAAGGTTTGGTGGAAACATAAGTGCTTCCATCTCACCGTGGCTTTGCCAGGCACCTTCTCAACACTGGAGATTCCTGAAGGGAGAACTGCAGAAAGCTGTGTTCAGTGGCTCAAAATGCCATTTAAAGGATGCCCCTGGTCCATCATTTGTTCCACCAGGTGACTTTCCAAAGATTCTAGATCACCAGCTGATGTTGGCTCCCCCTGCCCTGTTATTGGGAGCTCTCCAGACCATGTTATTGCTCCTTTTATTTCCTGATGCTTCCCATTGCCTGTCCCATGGGAGTGGTGTCAGTAAGACCTGCTGTTCCTGGGGGATGTCTGGGTGCCCAGCACTGACTTGAAATGCTGCTTGTCTTACTCAACTGCTTATCACTCTGGAATATTCTGCTTTTTGGCAGTTTCACTGGAAACCCTTCCCCAGCCAACATCTGTCCTTTGGTGGTGAGGTCTGGAAAAATGTTCTTTTCAAATGCAGTATTTTATAACTAAAAACCCAGGTCCCCTTTTATACTTTGACCATGGGGGCTGCAATGATCCCCAGGCACAGCCCCCAGTTCACTACCCCAAAAGGGGGGACTGGGAGAGTGCACCTGGGGACTGAAAAAAAACAACTGGTGTCTGTAGGTGCAGAAAATGAGCAACAATTGGGATTTATGTTGCAGGATTATGTTGAGCAGTAATTTACTGAAGAAAAGATACAGAGAAGTGGTTTTCTGTGAGTGTAGTCCCTGCCAACACAAAATGTCAGTACATTTTTCAATATAAATTTCAACTGTCAGATGCTTGTGTAGATACCATTTCTGTGTGTGGCTTGAGTGACTTTTGCTGTGTATCTGATCGTTCCAAAGTATCTGCCCAAGTTCATTCCTCAGGAGGAAAACATGGCAGAATTTTATTTTTTTATTAAAGGATCTATTGAAAGATCAATTAATTATTGACAAGGGGGAATGATGGCCAAAGACAAAACTGAGGATCATTGTTGCTGGTCTATAATTAATTAATAAGAAGAGCCTAAAGTCATTCTTGATACGTGCCACAGGAAAAATCTGATTTTTGCTGAGTGTTCCATCCTTTTTATTTATTATCTATAAGTACCACCAAGATTTGATTCATGCATCAGTTTCTTTATGACCACGGTTTTCACTGTTGCTAATAGTCTTCATCTTCCTTGATTTAACTGGGACTTGCAGTTGCTCAGGGTTTGAGACAGTCAGGTTATAATTAGTATATATTAGCTGCTGAGGTGAAAGGAATTATTTGTTACTATTTCTCTTAGCTTGTAATCTCAGGTAAATAAATAACACAAATGAGCTGTGTGTTTGCAACAATGGTTGCCAAATTTGTTTAGCTTAGTTGCTGCTGCTGAGTTTTAATTAGGGTTTTTAAATCAAAGGCACAAAGAAAGTTGGCAAGTGTGGTTCCTCACGGGGAGCTGCGGGTTGTCTGCGCGTCGCTCCGCCACAGATCAAGTGCATTGATGATTTAGGCATAAATGAGAAATTAGCCATTTATCAATTACTCTGCCTCCACCAAGTATTAATTCTTAGGGAGATTTATGGAGGTGTCGTGGCTCTGCACTAATGGGTTCCCTTCAGGCCAGCCCCTGGAATGCTGGAGGTGCAGCTCCTCCTGTGCCTCTGGAGAGGTTCTGGACCAGTTCTGCCCTGGGCCCACTGATGGGGACATCACCTGGGTGCAGGGACCCACCACCAGCCAGGCATAGGGATGGAGATGGCACTCCCAGGACTTGCAAACCTTGATTTTAGGATCAGAATCCCAGACTGGTTTGAGTTGGAAGGGACTTTAAAGATCATCCAGTTCCAACTCCCTGCACGGGCAGGGACACCTCCCACCAGCCCAGGCTGCTCCAAGCCCCATCCAACCTGCCCTTCAACACTGCCAGGGATGGGGCAGCCACAGTTTCCCTGGGCAACCTGGGCCAGGCTCTCCCCACCCTCACAGCCAAGAATTTCTTCCTAATGTCTCATTTAATCTCTCTTCTTTCAGATGGAAACCCTTCCCCCTCGTCCCATCCCTCCCTGCCCTTGTCCCAAGTCCCTCCCCAGCTTTCCTGGAGCCCCTTCAGGCACTGGAAGCTGCTCTAAGGTCTCCCTGGAGCCTTCTCTTCTCCAAGCTGAACACCCCAACTCTCCCAGCCTGGCTCCAGAGCAGAGCTGCTCCAGCCCCCCCATCATCTCCATGGTCTCCTCTGGAACCTCTCCAACAGCTCCATGTCCTTCTTGTGCTGGGGATTCCAGAACTGGACCCAGCCCTACAGGAGGTCTTGCTAGGACAGAGCAGAGGGGGAGAATCCCTCCCCTTGCCCTGCAGCCCAGGACACAGTTGGCATTCTGGGCCATGTCCCCAAGTCTGAGCTGTCTGAGAGCAGCGTGCAACATCATCTGGGGCCAGTTCTGTCCTTGTCCCTAGCTGTCATTACTCCTGTCTCAGTACAGTGTCAAGCTGACCATAAAGCTGTATTTTCCCTCAAAGATTCCTTTAAATGCTTCTGTCGTATTCCTGCTCCTCCACTTGTAAAATGTTTTGTCTGGATGTTTAAGCTGAGGACATTATTACTTCAGCTAATTACAAGAAAACTGACATCCTGGCTACAGGAAATGGCAAGCTGATTGGTACTTTGTGTGATCCCTCCTCAAATCCAGTTATGATTTAGTTTACTCTGTCCCCACAAACGTTTTGGACCCTTTAGCATTCAGACACAAACATGAATTACAGTCCCAGAAACCATAGTTAAGCTCCTGGGCCACGTGTGGGTGCCAGGACAAAACTGCAAATCAGGTTTTCGTGTGTGGCCAGTGGATTGAAAAGGCTTTAACTCACCTGATAAATGCTGGTGTTTCCTCTTTGTTCTGGAAAATGAGCCGGAATTCATGACATGGCAGGGATTAGCTGCATGATTTAATTAATCAGCACAGAGCTTGATAGACCATCTGATTGGGGCAGTGCTGTGCTTCATGGTTTCATGGAAAGATTACTGTCAAGTAATGCTCCTCCTCAAAGCTTTAAATCAATTAGCAGGTTTTGTGCTCGGCTGCCTCGCTTCCCTCTCAAAGAGAGTTTATACCAGAGGTGATTCAGTGGGTGCCTGAGTGAGAGCACAGACACCATCCATCAGGTCTTACTGGGTTTTCCAGGGCACTGAAATTATAAGCCATGATGCTGCCTCTCAGCTCAGCCCACTTATCCAAGACCAGGTACCCATGGCAGCCCCTCCTGCAGGCAAAGCCAGAAGGATGTGGTGTGCCCAGCTCTGTCAGGAACCAGCACACACTGGAATCAGGCTGTGTTGTATCACATTTTTTATCTGAAAGCTGTATGTGGAAAGATGGTTTGGGTGGGCTCTGGGAGGGTGAGAGCCGAGCAGGAGCTGCCTTGCAGGTGTGGCTTTGCTTTGGCTATCACCAAGGCTGGAAAAGACCTTTAAGCTCCTCAAGTCCAACCTATGACCTGACACCAGCACAGCAGCCAGACCAGGGCACTAAGTGCCACCTCCAGCTTTTCCTTGAACACCTCCAGGGATGGTGCCTCCACCACTTCCCTGAGTCGTGGGTACGTTTGGTAGGTCAGCTCTGCCTTCATCTCTCCCTGAAAGCACCATCAAGTGCCTTTTCACCTCACTGCCCTCAGGATTCATTAGTGTTGAGGCCACTGCTGCCTCTGCATGTCCTGCAGCTCCTGCTTAATACCTTCCTAACATTTCTGTTGGATTACCTGCCACCTCCTGACTTCACAGCTTGTTTTTCCTGTCACTTTGCATTTTTGAGTATCCCAAAGAAGAATTTACCAAGAAGAGATAATAGTTCTAGCAAATTTATGTTCATTTAAAACATGATTAAATCCATGTATGTATTCATAATGCTCGTCTACTGTCAGCAATGTTGAGACCAAACTCTCTGTTTTGCAGTGCCACTTGGTTCTCCTTGGTATCCCTTCAAGTTGCAGTTAGCAAAGTGTTTGTGCACTTAGAATGAATTAAGGAGAACGTTTACTGGATAGATACCAATAAACATGTCATTTCCCTAAAACAGAGAAACAAATTGAGCTAAGAACAAGATTTTTAATTTGAAACTTGAAACAAATGCCCAAATTTCTATTAGCTTCAATGGTACAAAGACTGGACCCATTTTCTAGCAGATCTCTGGGCATCTCATCTGATTTCAGAGAGATCAGGTCTCCACCATACCAATGTATTAAAACCTTTTATCTCCTTGACCTAAGTTCAATTTTATATCTATTTTTAATTTCTTCATAGTTTTCCAGATAGTCAAGTCATGTCTTCATTGCCAGGCTAATACAACAAGGTTGCAGTTTTGTCTTTCTGGTCTTCCCCAAGCCAACTACATCCAGTTTCAGTTTTTGTATCCCTCAACTTATTTGTGATGATGAACTCCTGGAGAGTCCCCAAGACAAACCAAGGACTGGGTGGACATGGCTTCTGGTGGTCTGGCCATGTCAGTGTTGGTGAAAGATGCCATTTGTGTACTTAAAAAATAAGGTTCTAGAGATAAATATCTGTTCCATGCTCCATGTTTGTGATGACTGACAATGCAACCCCAGAGTCCTCCAAGGACAAGGCCAAACCAGGAGTGTGACATTGCCTTGGAGTTACCCTACAACAACAGCACAAGCATGGAGGTTGTTGGTATCTCCACAGCCTTGCTGTGCTGGGGATGGAACTTCTGGAAATGTGCCATTATGTTTGCTTCTGTAAGACAGAGAAATGAGCTGAGGAGGTAAGTTCTAGTGCCAGGGCTGGCAGTAATTTTGCAGAAATGTCTTTGCAGTTGTATTTTTAAGGGAAGGGAGGAGGGAATATCAGGTGAAACAATAACAAGATGTAAATAAAATCATGTCACAAACGAACAATAAGCAATTTAGTTCATGACATGAGCAATGAGCAGTTTTTCAGAATGAAGATGGTTGGGTTTATTGCTGTCTTTCCTTTGGACGAAGGTGTTTCTGAGGATCTGATGAAATATGTTATTTTTAAAACACCCTGTGGAGAGTGAAAAATAGCAAATACCTCAGCTGGGGCCAAAGACAAGAAAGGAAAAGTTAATCTGAGGAATTTCTATTCCCACTTACCTAGTTCAAATCTAATAACTGTTTATTTCTTTTTAGCAGATAAATGTGTCAGTTCTTGTCCAGGGGATGAAAATGATGATCTTAGCATCAAGACTAAGAGAAATAAGTAAGTTCTAAAGTTTACTTATCTATTTGTGATGTTGGGAAGTCTGGCACAAAGAGGTGCAAAGAACAAGACAATTATTTCCTTCTGTGTAGAAAACAGCAGCAGCACATGATGAGTGTCATTCCTAAGGCAGCTCCATGGTTCTCTAAAATCTGTGCTTCCCTTGAGCAGCATCTGAGTAGCTCTTACCTACTCTGAAATGGTTAAAAAAAAAAGACTGTGTGGATAAGTAGTTATTTCAAAGCCATTGGATAAAAGCTTTGTCTCCATTGATGTGAAGCAGATATTTTTTCACTGGTGTCAGGGTTTCCAGGCTCCTGCTCGGAAATAGCTGGAGGTGTTTCTGTTCCTCTGCTTTTATTTGACCTTTATGACCATGTGTGCTTCAGATTCTCATGAAATAACTGGCAAAAAGCCACGTGCCAAAGAAGCAACTCCCTCACCCTTTGCCAAAAGAGCAGAAAATGAAGTAAACACTTCTGTTTTGAGAAGTGCCTGAAAGGCATTTTATTGTCTTCAGCCAGTAACTGTGTGTAGTGTCAGCTGTTGCTGCAGGTTGGAGCCATTAAAAAATTACAGCTGTACAATAAATCTGCACAATAGGTTGTATTTTGGGGGGGCATTGTGATGAGCAAGCACAACGAATTTCAGTATTTTCCAAGTGGATATGTTGAAGATAACTCTGTTCTGTCTTATATTACCATCCCTGCTCTCCTACATTGGGTGGTTCTTTTGACCTCGTTAAGATTTTCTGTGGATCCATATCATTATTGTGAAGGAAGAACCAGATACTCCCAGTTCAATACTCAGACTATTTTAATAATTTAATGCTTACTATAAGAGTGTATTTATATTTTATAGACACTGTGTGTACTTTTGCTGTTTACATAGCATTTAGTATTCATGAACAGTATAAATGTTAATATTTAGTATAAAAGTGTGTAAGAATGTTTTTATTGACATCAGTGGGGCTGACAATGATGGGCAATATTGTGTCTGTGCTGGTCACTGTGCAGTTCCTCTCAGTGAATGGGTGAGAAAATGTGAAAATGTTTTTCTGTTCATGTACATAAATGGAATTCTAGGAATTCAGAAGTTTGTTCACAGAACTCCAGAAAAATGTCCTTGCTCAGGCATTGCCTTAGCAGAGTAGTCTGTGCTGTGTCAGGAGGTTGGGCAGTGCCTCCTTCTCTGGCTGCTTGGGAATAAGGAACATTGTCTCATCTTTGATGGGATCCTGTGCCTTCTTCACTTGCAAGAGTAACTTTTGTTTGTTTAGTCTCTTCTTTTCTTTCATGTGTAGGATAACAAATGACACAACCTTTGTCATACTTGATATTTCTGTCAAGGTATTCACAGAGAGGATATTTAAAGCTTGGAGAGCCCTATCATAAGTTCTGGTTTTAACTTGAAAAATAAATCTTTATATTAGAGGAACATTTTTCTTTACATTAGTGGGATCCAATTCTCATTTGCTGCATGTGGGCAATTAGTCCACCACCCAATGCATAAGGAGGGCAGAGGGGCTCTGCTGGTCCTTGGCTGCTGGAGCCCTGCACAGTGTTTCTCCTGGCTTGCAAGAACTCTTTGTGTGCACTAGAAATTGGATTGGGCCTGTCATGGATCATGCCACAAAATAAAATTTGCCATTATGATATAAAAGCCACTGTCATTCTGTGAAGAACACCAATCTGATATCTCTGAAATCACTGGTGATGCAGCATCATTTTAGGATAAATGTAAGTGTAATGTAATTATTTGTAGAAGGAAGATAATACACTGGGGCTCACATTACATGCTCATCTAATTCATCTGCTTGGAGAAAAAAAAGTGTTTTCCTGCTTAAATTTCAAACTAAGTATTATTCCATAGTGGTGGAAATTACATTGGTAGGAGATGCAGTCATGCCTAGTAGGAGACTAAAAATCAAATCACCTTGTACTTTCCTTATCCTCATTTGAACCTTGTGATCACTTTAAGGCTCCTGATCTTTCCAGAAAGAGCCTGAATTTGTACCAAACCCCTCCCAGCTGGGCCCTGAGCAGGAGTCTGGTTCCGAGGTCTGAGCTGGCCAACTCCTGAAGTTTGGAGTTTCATGTTCCCACCTCAAATCCCATCACCTCCTGGAGCACCTCCCCCCTGCCTGGGAGGTCCCCACCACACTGACCTCCCCCTGCAGACACTGAGGGCACATGAGGCCAAATCTTAGAGAGCATCCCTCTCACTCTGCTGCTGCTGTGTGCTTGAAACTCAGAGTAAACTGTTCTTCTGTCCTGAAATGGTCACTCTGGACCTGCCTTTATCCCAGGGGTCCAGTAGGCAAGAGGGCTCAGGCAAGGAGCAGGAGAAGCTCATTTATTCCAATCAGATGCAATCTGGGAAGGTCTGTCGGGATGGGTAAGGAAGGACCTGCTGGCCCAGACATTTATTCCAATCAGATGCAATCTTGGAAGGTCTGTTGGGATGGGTAAGGAAGGACCTGCTGGCCCAGACAGGCAGGTTCCTTGCTGAGGCTTGGCTGGTGACCTGCCCTGGGAGGGAGCTCAGGGGCTGCAGGATCAGCCAGTAAGTTGGTGTTGGCTTCCAGTGGGGGGACATAAACAGGAAAGAGAAATAAAACAAGGGAAGTGAAACGAAACAAGGTGAGTCTCTCCAGTTGCTCCTGGAAGGTCTCCACTCCTGGACAGATTTTATATCAAGCTGTCACTTTTCTGTAGTATGAAGTACAGCATGGTGCCTGGCTGCTGAGGTCTTCCTGGACCACAGCACTAGAGTGTCCTCCTGCTGCAGGAGGTTCAGAGGCCCCTGGGCACCCTCCAGCCCCGTGCTGGGCTAATGAGCCACAGGGCTCAGGCACCAGCTCCCTGCACCCGGAGGGGTCCTGCCAGCCCAGAGAGTTTTCTGCAGAGGGTTCAAAATCCTCTCCCCAGGTGACAATTACTGACCTGTTTTCTATCTTGCCTTGTTAAAGAACAGAAGATGCCCAAGCAGCTGACCAGGGGAAGGCTGAAATGGAGGAGAAAAGTGAGGAGGCATCGGGAGGGCAGGTGTCCCCTCCCCTGGAGGAGCGCATCACTCGTTTCCGAGACATGCTGCTGGAGAGGGGGGTAAGGAGGGCCTGCCTGGCTGTGGCACAGCTCAGGTGGGCAGCAGGGCACCACCTGCTGCTGCAGGGGCTGCTCCATAACTGTCACTTCACGGGCAAATGGAGATGTTTTGATTTCTCTCTATTAACCCTGTCGGTTTTGTGATACTTCACTGTGACTTTTCTTCTGATGCCATCCAGTCCAAGGTGACCAGCAGAACTTGCAGTCCCTTGCAGGTGCAGACCCACAAAAATCCCTGTGGACAGCCCCAAAGGTACCTGGGGGCAGCCACCCCACCAGTGCAGAGCAGAGGCTCAGTGTGGCATGGGGACTTGCAGCCACCCACCATCCCAGGGTCTTGCACAGACCCCAGAGCTGTTCATTACACGCTGAGCAAAGGATGCAAGACAAGTCATGTCCATCACCAGGAAGACAGCACCAGGCTCAGAAACACTCCTGGCAAGCCCTTTGCTTTTTTTTTTGGCATGGGAGAGGTCTCAGCACCCAAACTCCAGTGATCCCACCACTGTGAAGCCAAGTTCACTTACTGGCCATCTGAAATCCATGCAGTCTCTTTGGAAAGGAGGTACTGGAGTCTCAGGAGAGTTTAGAAAACCTGCCCTTTTCCTTGGACCTCCCTGGCTGTCCTTGGCCTCCCTTGAGAAGAGCTGGTGGTTCCTGCAGAAGCTATGGGACAGGAGCTGGGGGGTGGGAGGGGAAGTGCCAGGTCTTTGGGCTGAACAAGAAGAGGTGGCCCCACCATGGTTGGGCAGCCAGAGCACCTGGAGCATCGTGTCCCCTGGGCCAGCACAGACCTGCCTGCCACAGAACTGGTACCAGTTCTGGGAGGGTCTGGAGCTGTTGCAGCCATCTCATGGTGACCTCTTTGAGGTTACGAGCTGGGAGATGGAGCAGAAATTCAGCTGGCAGGTAGAGCCTTCTGCACTGGGAGCCTCCTGACCAACGGGGAAATAGGACCTACAGATCTCGTAGGAGCATCTGGTGACTGGTTTGGTAAAGAGCCTCAGCCTGGTGTCTGTTTCCTGAGGCAGCATTTAAGAGCCTGTCCTGAGCTGACCACACACAGGCTGCCATCAACAGGAGGAATTTTGGATGCCATTATTTATATACACAAAATCACCTCTGCAAAAATTCATCTCCGTTTGTCCCTTTTTCCAGAGAACTGATGAATCTGAGTGTGAATGGAATTAATAAGCATGCTGGGTTTGAGTCCTCATCCTGCCAATGTAAATGGGGGTATAAGGGAGCAGTGTGTGCAGATTTCATCCCTCCTTCCAACACTCTGCAAATATATATTCTATAGAAGTTCCTGTCATTTCTGTAAAGAAAAAAATCCAAGGTGTCTGTTGTTAGGCAGTAAAGCCTAGAAAAATTATCACCAGTAATCAGCAGGCTTTAAAGGTAGATAATGAGATCTTCAGAGCTCAACAGTAAATTATCTCCATGACAGACCTGCTTTATTAATCCATTTTGTTATTTATGCTTAACAAATGCAGAGTGCCATAAAAGAATCCTGGCTGAAGACTTCAGCTGGCATATTTTAAGTCAGGGGGCAGTAAGTCAAAATTTGAAAGTATTAGGGATGTTTTATAATAGGATTCCTCAAGTGTTTTCAGTGCAAGAGTCAGATTTGCTCATAAAAATAAGGAATTCAGGACATTTACTGTTTGGTTTTGCTATTATTTAAAAATGTATAGGTAATAGAGTACCTTGCTTTCTCCCTGAGCATTTAAAAATGTGCAGACAAGCTGCTGGTTAGCTCAGCTGGTTGGCATTGCTTGGAGGGCAGTGAGGCCTTTGGTGTTATTTTAAACTGATTATTTAATTAACATCTCCTGCCATTTGCTTGTAATGCTGTTATTTCCCAAGTAGTTACTTGATGGCATTGCAAGGAGCTTGAACTAGATGGAAGTTTTTCAGTGTGGTTCTGAATCTTCCTATACAAGTTGTATCAACAGAAGAGAATTTATTGTAACATTTTAAAAATAGAAGTGACTTTTTGGTGTGGCTCCAAGCTGATGGCACTGTTCTTAAGTCTGTGGCAAGTTTCCCTATGTAAAAATGTAATCTCTGATATCCTCCTGGAGGTTTCAAGGTTTCCACAAAGTGCAGAGGGGAAGAGGATGATTTAAGCCTCTTCCTGGCTCCCTCACAGCCACAGCAGTAACACTTCCCCATGCTGCATTTCTGGGAAAGGCTCTTTGCTGGGATGCTCTTGGTAAACCAGGCTTTTGGAAAGGATTCCAAGTTACTTTTTTACTCAAGATGTGACTTAATACTGGGGAGATAAAAGGGAATCTGGGGGGTCCTAACCCCAACCTTCTTGTCTCCAAACAATTATTGCAGTCTCAATACTATCCTAAAGAATAAATTAAAAACCCCAAATAAACAGAGGTAGAATTGGGTTTTATTCCTCCACCCTGTTTTTCAAACAGACCCAAAGACCCCATTTCTAGAAGGACAAAGCACTGAACCCCATTTTTCACTGTCTCTTACTGGTGGAATGTCCCATGGGAGGGGAGAAGACCATGATACACGTTGGGAGATGCATGAGAACCTTCCCCATTTCTCTGCACTTGCAGAGCTCCAGAGTGAGTATCCTGAGCAGCCAATGGCTCAGCCAGTCCCAGCCCTGCCCTGGGCAGGGGCATCTCCTGCTAGACCAGGTTGCTCAGTCCATTTTTAACCCACTTTGCTTCAGCAGAGCTTCCCTCTTTGACAGCAAATTTCTCTGTTTTAATTACACTTCACGTACTTAATTTTTTTAGTGGATTTACTCTTCTTTGTAATTAAATGGTGTGATTAGAATATTTTATGTTACTCCAGAGTTCCCTGTTAATTACTTTGTTACAGAGATGTTGTACCAGGTTCAGGCTCAGGAGTTCAGCCTGGTGTTCCCAGACTGTCAGTTTGTAAAAGCTCCAGGCAAAGGGACCTGCTGGGGTTCCTGGTGGTCCCTGCACTCACTGGTGGCTGAGGTTTCAGGGCTGAACATCTACAGGAATGTGATATTCCCATGTCGTGGGGATGTGAGGGATGTGCAGGGCTTGGGTGGACACTCCAGAGACCTGGATTCACTGGAAAAAGGTGGAAGCCTTGAAAAGGAGGAGATGTGACAGCAATGCTGTTGGAGGGAAGGGGCACGTGTGCTACAAACACATAGTTTTTTGAAGATGTTCACCATCAATTCTTCAGTGTGTGCATCCCCTGCCATCCTCGTTTGGGTTGTAATTGAAGTTTGGGAGAGAAGAGGAGCTAAAGCCAAGGTAATTACTTAAATGGAAATTGATGCTTCTGTTGTACAAAGGGGATAATAACATGGCAGTTTCCTCCCTGCTGCACATTCTTTCCATCAAAAATGTGGAACGAGCATCTCCCAGATACTCACTAAGATGTCCTGGAGCAATTCAATGCTAATGGTGTGGGGGCATCCAGAGCACTGCCAGAAACAGATTAAAATTCAGCTTCCGACCACTCCAGGCATCCTGCCGAGGGTTCATTAGCTTTCTGAACTGCTCTTTTGCTTCACCTTGGAACATTTTCTTCTCTCACGTCCTTATTGAAATTCCTTAATGCAACTGTGTTTGTGTACTTCACAGGTTTCAGCATTTTCTACGTGGGAGAAAGAGTTGCACAAAATAGTGTTTGATCCACGCTACCTTCTGCTGAATCCCGAGGAACGCAAGCAGGTGGGCACAGCCTCCAGCAGAGCTGCTGCTCTGCAGCAGCCACCTCCCAGATTTACCCTGGTGACAGGGTAATCATCAGCTTGGGAGGGCAAAAAAGAGCTGCATAAAATTAAAATTCCCTTTTGAAGACCTCCCTCCCTGGCAGTGTTGAAGGGCAGGTTGGATGGGGCTTGGAGCAGCCTGGGCTGCTGGGAGGTGTCCCTGCCCATGCAGGGGGGGTTGGAACTAGATCATCTTTAAGGTCCCTTCCAACCCAAACCAGTCTGTATTTCCATGATTCAGTGAGACTTGCAGTGTAGGCTCAGCTCCTGGGAAGGTGCTGTCTCCTTTGCAAAGGAGTGGTCAGAAGGGAGTTTGCACACAGAGATGAGCTCCAGGTGTCTGGGGCTGTAGGAACAACTCCTGTGGAGTCTGGGAAACTGGGCTGCAGGGAGGGAAATGGCTGTAAGGTAATGTTTCCACTCTGAATTATTTAAATATCATGAGGAGGCTGTTTCATTTTTGTGACAGAGAGCATTTTCTAGGGGTTTGGCAGTATTCAGTGCTCTGTTTTGCAGTAATTGTACTTGCTGGACATAACCGGATTGAGCACTGTGGCTGTGCTGGTGTTTGCTGGAAAGGGCTTCATTTTCCTGGCAAACTGCAAAGGGCACTTTTTGCTACCTTGATTATTGGGGCATTAATTAGCACTAAGGACCTAAAAGGACCCCAGGGCTGCAGCTGAGTTTAACAAATTTAGAAGAGGTACAGGGATGTTGCAGAGAAGGGAAATGCTTCTGTTCTGTAGTTATTTATCTTCCTTGCCAGTCTTTTGTCATCCTGGAGAAAGAAGGAAGAATTTTTAATATTAAATTGTCCAGTTTTTAAATAAACATAAAGAAAAATGTACCTATTCCTATTCCATTGCACTGGGACCCAGATTGTCTTGTGGTTCTCCAGAGAGCTTCTTGGAGGTATTTACTGAGGGACTGAGGACATATATCTTCATTTACTCCCTTTCCAATATTTTCTTTCTGAAGAAAAAAAAGTGAAATATAATAATAATGAAATATGTGAAGGAAAATGTGAGAGAAACTGCTAGAATGGGAAGTACTGCTAGACAGGAGGCTAAACAGGGAGGTTGGTATTTATTTCAGGGAATCAGGAAGGACAAAGCCTAGGCCTTGATGAGTCAATCAAAATACATTGCTTCTTTCAGTTTATCAGCCTTAGAGTTGATATAATAAAAATACATCAGGAATACACCTCATGTCCTTGAAGCACTGCTGTGGGGGACCTCGTCTGCGGGTTGATGTGGTGCTCAAGGTTCTGAGGAACAAGCTCTTGGCAGTCTGCAGGTGGGACCCTGTAATTAGGCAGGGGTTGGCTCTGCAAGGGATGGCAACTCAGGCTCAGAGCTGAGGAGGCAGGGGGAGCTGGTCAGGAGCTCTTCTGCAAAACACGGTCAAAAACCAGCAGGGTTGGGAGCACGTGCCAGGTGTGTCACACCCTGTAGATACTGCACCTGAAGTGATGACTTCTAGATGTCCACTGTAAGTAATGCCATCTGGTTAGACCCCACTTTCCTCCAAGAAGTGGTTTGAGAAGGCTAGACTTGGACAAGAGCAGGTGTTGATTTAATGGCAGCACTTCTTGAAGTGCAGCTGAAATTAGCAGAAGACATGATTTAGTGTTATGGCAACATTTCCCTCCATGGGTGCTGGCTGTGTGGCCTGGCCAGAGCACCTGAGTGCCCTCTGAGTTGTGTGAATGAATCTGTGTTGGAGGGGGCAGAGGTGAGAAGTGGCTCACAATGAATGTGGGGAAGGGAAGGATGCTGCAGGTGGGTTGGGAAGGGCAGGGAAAGCTTTTTGGCTGCCTTCTGGGAACCTCCTCTTGACTGGAGTGTGTGTGGAGGTGGGTTTGACTGCCAGGGGTGCCAGCTCTGCTGTTGGTGGCTGTTCTCATGTTGCCTGAGGAAGGTGATGATCTATACTGAAGGTCTGTGGTTGGCTCCACTCGCCTACCAGTATTTCCAAGGGGTTATTAACAGTTGGAAGATGCTACTATGTTTAAGCAAGGAACAGTGAAGGGTAAAGGAGCAGCTGTATTAAAATAATACTAATTTTGATTTATTACCTTCATAATAGCTTCACTGATACCAGAAAGGCAAGCAATAACAGGGTCACCTACTTTATTTGTTCCATTTTTTTCCATCTTCTCTTACTCTCAATTTATGCAATTGGTTACAGTATAATCTATCCAGGTTTCCCAGGTTATTTATGGTACTTCTCTCGTGGCCATTTTTGATGTTTGCTTTTCCAGTTCTATTTCTTTTCTCTTCTCCATAACATCCAAAACACCAGTTGTGGCTTGGTTACTTTAGCTTCCATGGCATGTAGAGTTGCACCTGCACATCCTCATGGCTGATGAGGAAGCACCATGGTAGTAACCATCACATTTAATGTGTGCAAGTTGTGGTGGGGAAAGGGTGGGGAATACTGAAAGCTGATAGCATTTGGAGAAGATTTTTTGGGGGGGGTGTGAAAAATGTGATTAAAGCAGTTGGCAGAATTTTGTGACACTGTGAACTCCTCAACTTATGGCAAGGAAATGTGAGGGAGATGCTGAAGTCAGGAAATGCTGATGCATGCTGCACTTGCTGATTGAATGAAGATGCTTTCTTGTCCAACTTGCACCTTCCTCCAGCTACTTGTTTTGTGAGAACATTTATCAGTGCTGAGTGAACCAGACCCAGCTGCATGAGGCAGCACTGAGGGCAGATAAAACCCGTGGATTGCAAGACTGACAGCCCTTTGATCAGGCATAAATACCAGAAAGGCTTTGTTAATAAATGCAGTATCTTGTTTCCCTTTCTTGGAAAGATATTTGAACAGTTTGTCAAGACCCGGATCAGAGAAGAGTACAAAGAAAAGAAAAATAAATTGTTGTTAGCCAAAGAAGAATTTAAAAAGCTCCTTGAAGAATCCAAGCTATCACCAAGGTATGGCTTTGCCTTGTGGAGATTTGTTCTGATAAGCTCTCTCCTTCAGCCTCTGCTTATCAGAGGATGCCCTAACACTGAACTTGTGTACAGCCCGTGGTGCAGTGCTGGGCTCATGGTTCTTCCCTAACCTTTTACAGGATTTTGTTATATTTCTGGGAAAAGGAACACACCATCTTTATCTCAGTTCTCCCTCTCTCTGTTATTAAGAATGTGTCATATTTTGCATTGCCTATTTGTTTGATATGCATGTCTAAGGCCTAATGATAGAACACACACATTATCTATATCAAATCAGTATCTGAATGTTTAATTGTAGTTATATTAGGCAAAGAGGAGTAACTAGTGAAAAACTTGGGTTTGTTTTTTGATGGAAGAGAACAAAGTTTAGTATTAATACCACATCACCAAATTAAAATCAAGAATGCAATGCTGCATTTTTCTACACTGATCTTTAAGCACTGGCTCCAAAAGTGCACAGTGGCAGGTGCAGTGCTGAGGGCAGCACCTGCTCATTCATGTTGGATATGAAAATAAAGAGATCTGTATATTATAATCTGGCTAAAGATTTGGAACTAAGAAACTACAGTTTTCTCAACTGAAATACACAGTGGATGGGACAGCACTGCCTGCCCCAACACAGAGGTGCAAACAGCACATCAGGCTCCAGGGAACTACTCAGAACAAGAAGGTTTTTTACCAGAAACTGGCAACATTCATGACTAAAGTAGCAGCCAATTGCTGGTCTCAGCAACGATGTTCTCATTCCACAGGGGCAAACCCGTGTTTGTTCATGTTTCTTGCTGAGCTGGCAGGAGAGCACAGTGTCAGAGGGACTCACCCACCAGCTGTGGGCTCTGGGTGGCTGCTGATCCGCAGTGAAACGCCACGAGTGTTGGGAAGTGCTGGAGCTGGTGGTGAAATCCTGAGGGAAAGCTGCCTCTCTGTGGGTGTCAGTGGCACTGTGCCTGTCACTCACAGCTGCAACTAATCTTTAGCTGTTTCTAGAAAAGATCAAACCAGCTTGGTAGTCCACTGGAGACCATGTGCTCAAGGGTGGTAGGGCCTTTAGTAAGACCTTCAGTAGTGCCATCTAAGCAGGACAGTCAAAGGCATTCCTTTCCTATTGGCCATGGGTGGGGTTTTCTGCTCAATGATGGGCTAATTACTGAAACACTGGCCATCAGAGCTGGGGGGAGCACAGACTGAAACCTGAGCAAACACCGTGTTGGGGATTCACGACTGTCCTGCCAGGCACTGCCCCTGTTTTCCCAGTCAGAAGCTGGAGGTTGGCTCCTGCAGGCTGACCCGAGAGCCTCTGCCATGGCCTCCCCTCCCTTGTCCCCGGGGCTCCCCTCACCTTTGTGGGTGTCAGTGGCACTGTGCCTGTCACTCACAGCTGCAACTAATCTTTAGCTGTTTCTAGAAAAGATCAAACCAGCTTGGTAGTCCACTGGAGACCATGTGCTCAAGGGTGGTAGGGCCTTTAGTAAGACCTTCAGTAGTGCCATCTAAGCAGGACAGTCAAAAGGCATTCCTTTCCTATTGGCCATGGGTGGGGTTTTCTGCTCAATGATGGGCTAATTACTGAAACACTGGCCATCAGAGCTGGGGGGAGCACAGACTGAAACCTGAGCAAACACCGTGTTGGGGATTCACAACTGTCCTGCCAGGCACTGCCCCTGTTTTCCCAGTCAGAAGCTGGAGGTTGGCTCCTGCAGGCTGACCCGAGAGCCTCTGCCATGGCCTCCCCTCCCTTGTCCCCGGGGCTCCCCTCACCTTCCTGTCCAATATTCCCCACAACACCCCCATTTTTCATGTCTGTGGGAAAAGCCAAGTGTGATCCAGGTCAAAGAGCCTGATGTGGAGTGACAAGGTGGCAGCTTTACCATCTCTCTGTTTCCTGCAGAACCACCTTTAAAGAGTTTGCAGAGAAGCACGGACGAGATCAGCGGTTCCGCCTGGTTCAGAAGAAGAAGGACCAAGAGCATTTTTTCAACCAGTTCATACTTATTCTTAAAAAGAGGGACAAAGAAAACAGGATAAGGCTACGGAAAATGAGATAAAAGCTCCTGGAACTGGCAATAAATGCACAAGTCCGTGCTGTGGCTGCAGTCAGGAACTCGGGGGAAGGCTAAAGCCTTTGGGGCTAAACTGGCAACAGCTTGAGGAGGAAGTGGAAATCCCTGGGAGAAACTTTCTCTAAACAGAGTTTATTGGCCATATATTGAATTTGTGAAGGTTGTTCTGCAGGAATCTGAAGGGTATTTTGTTCTCAAAGAATTAATGTTTCATATTGAAGCTCTCTTTTGTACAACATCCAGAGTTTGATGCATTTCTAATTGCCGTGATATGTCAGTCCCTTAATTGTTTTAATTATGCAAATTACTTGTAATATACACAAATTATGAATCCAGTGCAGATTTGTAATTAAGCAGGGGCAGATGCCATCCATAACAATATCTCAAGATACTTTCTTCATTTAGGGGAATTATCTAAACCAGTCTTTGGGCAACTTTATGCATTACCAGGAAGTGTTTGGAGTATGGTGGTACGCAGGAATTCATCACCCCGTGTGCATATGTCTCTGTCCAGTTCTCTGAGTAGTAGTAATAAGATATTAATTGTTAATCCAGTGAAGAGTGTGGAAATCTTGGCATTTGTTCCTTAGGAAAACTTCCCCAAGTAAGAAATTGCTTTCTCCTTGCCCTGGATGGTGCTTTTGGGCACCTGGGCGACAGCACCACTTCTCCGGCCGAGTTCCTAAGAGAAGTTCTTGGGTAAAACCATCACAGTGTGATTTCAGTTCTGTTACTGTATGTGAAAAGTCTGCATGAGATTTTTCTCATCATATTTGTATAAATAAATATTTAACTTTTTTAATTAATAAATATTTTAAGCCAATTTTCAGAGGGTTTCACATTTCTCGGCTTTTGGAAATATTGGGTAAAATGGTGCAGGTCTCGAGGCTTTTGCTGGAGAGGTAGAAACCCAGAGGGAGCTCCAGGCAATCCTGATCTGTGTGCAAATTCCACTGATGCTGACTGGAGTTCTGAGCATGTCGTGAGCAAAATAGTCACTGTGTTTGTGAAGGTAGGATATCCTGGCTGGAGAACATCAGCACAGATCCCTGAACACCAGGATATCCCCTCCTTTGTGCTGCAGGAAAGACATGCTCTCCTCTGTGAGCATGAGGATTTTCTCAGATGACCTAATTTTTGAGTTATTATTAATTAGATTCATAGATTTCTACTTAGTAGGAGTGATTTTGATATTTTTCCCCAACTAATGGTAATTTTTCTTTAGATGTGTGCTGGATTACTTTTTTTTATAATCAAGGAAATAAGGGTTTTTTCTAGTGCTTGGGAAAAATTAACTCAGAATAACCCAAAGAAGAGTACTTAATACAAGATGTGTTTTGGAAAGTATATAGAGTTTGAAGGTTCAGCATGAAAAAGGTGTCATTTATTTCTGTGAGAGCAAGACCTGCCCCAGAGCTGCTGGTGGTGTGAGCAAGGAAATTTGCTGCTGTGTTGGAGTTTCCAGGTTAAACAGATGCTCCCAGTTTGATCTCAGCTCTGCAGGTGAGGGTTGTCCTTCAGGACCGAGCAAACCAGTAGGTGCAATTTGGTGTTCCATGGCTTGTGATAGCCACTCCCTCACAACTTCATCTAAGGATTATTTATGCACTGAGCAAACCAGTAGGTGCAATTTGGAGTTCCATGGCTTGTTCCATGGCTCACAACTTCATCTAAGGATTATTTATGCACTGGAGGAAGAGCCTGGGTTGCTGCCACCCCTGCGTGGCTCGGGAGTCCTGGGAATCACCTAGAGACAATGATGCCCATGTGGATGTGGGGTGGGACTGGGCTGCAGTGACCCAGACACATCATGCAGATCTGCCAGGAGACCCAAAGACAGGCTTCAGAGGGTTTTTCATAAGGTGTCCAAAAGAAGTAAGCTGCAGGAGCCCCGTGGGACCTTGCTTTTATGACTGAAGCTGTTGCAGTGGCTTGTGCCCTGGTGGGGTTCTCTGGACACAGTGTGAGCATTTCTAGCCCCCCTGCTGCCATGAGGACAGCACCCCGGGTGGCCTAGGCCACCTGCAGCCCATCACCTTGTGTCCATCCTCCCAGGCAGTCCTGGGATGCAAAGGGGGCTCTGTCCCAGGGCTCACCATGCTGTTCCCACAGCACCTCCCAGGGTGCAGGTCCTGAGGGCCAGTCCCTCCCGGACTGTGGCTGGAGAGTTGGAATCATTTTGCTGTACATTTTGCTCAGCTCTCCAGGAACACCTGTGTTTCCTCATAGCTGTCACACTGAAATCGATTATGACTGTGTAATCCTTCTGTTTGAAGTCCCAGGCTCACCAGGATCAGCTGAGGAGGGGGACTCATGTATCCCAGGTCACTGCCCCAGTGCAGGGGTGGGAGGCTGGGGGGGGGTCACCCTCCCTCCTAATTTCCTTCAGCCCAACTCCCTTTTGCTGACCCTGGACTATTTACAACAACTTGATCACCTCTGAGCCCCTCTGCCAAGGATTCTCCAACTGGCAAGTGGGAAGTTTTTTACCCCAGGAGCAGGAAACCCTCAAACTCATCCCCCAGCCCTTCACAGCTAGGAGGGGCTGTTAATTGGGTGATGAGAACTGAACCTGATCCCTTGGGGCTCACAGCCACCTCCCGTGTCTCAGCTGGTGACCTCAGATGAGCCCTGCCCTGGTCCCAGTCCCAGCTGGGAAGAGAAGAATATTTGGAGCTTCTGGTGTGGATGTGCTGGGCCCTTTTCTCCTGAGCCTGGGATGAGCAGGGATGGTCTGGCTGTTAAAAGCAGAGAAAGTTCAAATTCTACTGGATTTCTGAAAATTAAAAAAGTGGAGGGGTTGTTTGAGAGGCTTTCCTTTCTCTTTGGCAAAGTTAGAAAACACAAATTCTAGAATGACCCCAAGTGGTCCTAGGGGAGCCAATGAAACTGTAGCAGCCTTGAATTTGCTATTTCAAGGGGGGGAAAACAAAGCAACCAAAAACCAAGCATATAAGAAAAAAAGATTATACAACAGAATCTTCAACAAGGCTTTTAATAAGTGTAGCCTTTCTTTGTCTTCAGAGGAAGAAAAACTTTGCTACATTTTAAAGTACCAAGGAAATGAGATGCAATCAGCAATGGAGTCCCAGCCTGCCATAGCAGCAAGGGACAGAGCTAAAAGTGAGTCTGGGAATGCAGGCAGCAAGAATGAGCTAAAACACCTTCAGCAAGAAGCTGCTGGTGTTGGTGGAACTTGCAGCAAATTGGATTTCTTAGGACCAGAACATCTGTTATCAAAATGAAAAGATTTTGGTCCTGTAGCATTTGTTCAGCCCCACCATATTGCAATAAACCAGACCCTGCTCTGCTTTGTTGAGTTATGGAAATGAAACTGGGAACAATTTGGGGGTGGGGGGCAAATAAATTCAACACCATTTCTAAAGCATTCCTGAGCCTGTCAGGAGGGATTATACACAGCTGAGCTCTCTGGAGTCTACGAGCCTCAGCTGCCTGTAATCCCTCCTGACAAGGCATCTGCCTGGTTTGGTTCTATAAACCTACAGAAACAGAGATTTCACAGCTTCCCAGGTCTCTGGTGGATCCTTGGTGTTGCTCCTCTTAGGAGGAAGGTTTTCCCCTTCCAATGTGACCTTCTCTTCTTGCAATTTAAATCCATGTTGCTGCTTCTTGGAATCTCCTGTTGCTCCGTGTCTTCCTTTGGCTGCCGTGAGATTTTACATCTGTGCTGGACTCAAGTAAGTGCCTTGGATTTTTTTGGATATCTGCCCTTTCTGATTTTTCAAGTTGGAAACAGCCCATTATGAAGTGTGTAACAGTTCCCAGCACAGGTCATATATGGCAGAGACGTGTTGGCTGGGTCATCATTGGGAAGCTGCTTGAGGAAGAAGAATGACTTTGAGCTGGCCATGTGTCCAGAGGGAGCTCAGGTTTTACCTCCCTGGGCTGGGCCCTCACACTCCCTTAAAACTGAAGTGCTGAAAATGAAGGCAGTTGCAATTCAAAGCTTAGTGGAGGTGACAGAGCCTGGGGCTGGGGGCATGTGAGCTTAGCCTGCTGACAAAGTACTAATAATGTTGTTTCAAGAGTAATTTGTTTGTTTACACTGGGATTCTACTTGGCTAAAACTGAGATCAAGAGGAGGAAAAAACAAAGGTGATAACCTTCTGGGGTTTTTTCTTTAGAAAAAAAAAAAAAGAAAAATAAATTCTGACCAATATGGGCAACAGGAAGATGTACAAAGGGCTGCAGCAGGTTTTGGTGGGTTCTGCTGGGGGGTTTCTCTGATTTTTGACCTCCTAACAAGGCTACACGTGTTTGGGTAGAAGTTTAGTGGTTCAACAGTGGTTATAGTCATTTTGTTTCCCTTTCCTAAGCAGTTTGTGATAAGTGGAGTTTTTTTGTTTGTTTTGTTTCTTGGTGTTTGTTTTGTTGGTTGTTTTTTTTACTACTTCCTGTTTTGATGTCTCCACTTGGGTTCACTTTGGTAAATATCACTTTCATCCTGTACTTCTGGGAACACATTTTTATATTGCCATGATCATTGTTGGGAGAGCTAATCTCTAGTACAAATGAAGAGAAGCCAAGGAAATGAAAACAAATGATGGCAATGTTCCCAAGAGACTGGGAATTGACTTTTCTAGATTCACAGCAAAATGCTCTGGGTTTGCTTCCTTGGGTAATTCAACTTGATTTATCCTTCCAAGCTTCAATGAAATATCTATATATTGTATTTCTTCAGCAGAGGCTGTGACATCCAGAACTGTTGCCTCTCCACATGCTTTTCATAATGAATACCTTCCTGGCAAGTTTGCTTGTATCTGGGTGGGTTTGTATCCAGTTTTTCAGGGTTTTGTTCTCTTTACGTGTCTTGAGTTTGTTGTATTTAATACTCTCTTCACATTGGGAAGGAAAACAAGACAGCAGCTGGAAGCACAAACCTGAGTTGCTGCAGGGAGGGATCTGAGGCTGGTGTAGAGCTCGTGCCAAGTCACCCTGAAGTGCTGACCTGCACTCTTGGGCTG